TACCTAAATATGTATCTGCTTTGATAATTGTAGTTAAGTAATTAATTCATTTGTTGTTACATTGAATTATTTGTTTATTTTCTTAAACCTTCATTCATACCGTGATCATTTTGCTTTTTGAACAAAGGTTTGTTGTTTGCATGATACACTTTTCACAAATTAATGCTACTTGGCGTTTTGCCAATTTATTTACTGCAGTAAAAATTTAAAATGCTTTTGAACTTTTTATTATCAACATATCCAAAACCAATGGCTGTCGAAGTACTTTAATTGAGATTAGGAGTATGTTTATGTTCAATTTGATAAATTTGTTACAGGTCTTCCCACTGTTCAAATATATTAAACTGACTATTAAACATCTCTTAATCTCAATTAAAGTAATCGGTCACCAATAATAGTAAGGACACAAACCTTCAAAACAAGTAGCAGGGACGCATATTCGCAAGCAGATTTAAAACGCAGCTGTGCCTTTGCGTTAATAGATGGCAGCAGGTTAACGCGGGTCCAACAAAGTGTGAGAGAGTGGGCTATCTATACTTGTCTTTACTATGGTGTTAGATAACCTCAATCAATGGCGATGTTAAAAAAGGCCCTCAAGCTTTTGCGAAAAACGTAATTATTATGCGTCTTAGCGACAATTTTGCATGTGCAGTTTTGAATTGTTGATGAAAACACGATTTAGCGACAAATACCATCGGACAATCTCATTTTCGTTCTCAAATAAAGGGAAAAGCAAATTTCAATTTTTCGCTGAAACTGCTTGATTTGAAGTGTTCTTTAAGGTAAAATAAGAAAAATTTGGAGGCGCTCAAACGACACGATCACGAATTTTGGTTTAAATAGAGAGGAAATAGAGATCAACGAAAAGAACGAATGAGCGCAGAAAATTCCATATTTTTCTTAGAACTTGGCAACCATTAAAATTAGTTTGACATTTGCTCATTAGAGATAAAGCACCCTCTCACTTGTGCACAGATAGAGCGACAGAGCCCATAGATAAAGACGAGTATAGAGCCTCTGTGATCATCCCCCACTTTCTGGACTAAGTCAGACGGCAAACACAAAAGTATATGTGAGTATCTTGCAAAAGTTGCGTGAATCCTATCGATTTCGGGCATTTGTATACAGTTTAACCTTTATAGGTCATGTGTTTAAAATAAGTGAGTGGTCAAATATCCTGATCTGTAACATAATAAGCGTAGTTTTTATCATAAAATGTATTTATCAGACGGGGATTTAAAAGGCGCACTAATAAAAAAAAATGGTGTGCGTCACGGGACGCTCGACAGAAGT